TACTATGACTGCCAACTAAATTTTAACATTCATGTTCAGAAAAAGTAAAAAATGGGCACTCTATTTGATGGCTTTGCTTTCCTCTTCTTAGCCCTGAAGAGTGACTGCAGGGGTCACTATGAAGGTTAGGAGCCTAGACCCTGGAGCCAGAAAACCTGGTTTCAAATTCTGATTCTGTGATCAATCAGCTGGCTTTCCTGGGATAATTATATAACCTTCCTTATAGGGTTGTTATAAGATTTCATATGATAATCCATGTAAAGTGCATAGCGGAGTGTCTGCTACGTGGTGAGCTTTAAATAATGGTAGCTGTTGTTTTTGTTACTATTACTGTTAAACTGGAAAGAGTAGCATGACCGTGGATCAGAGGGATGAGGTTGTCTAAGGACACCTGGCTGATCATATTCAAGCAGATGGTGAGAACAGTTAATCATGATGATAATAATAAGTAATACAAACTACACAGCAGAGCCTAAATGACAATGCAGCTAATAACAAAGAAGTGGAGCTGAGAGATGGAGAGACCATGAGACTAAGCCCTGATGGCATTACTTAATCCAGCCATGATGGACACCGATTCCCTTCGGACATTTTTTTTATGTGAGCTAACACATTTTCATTCCCCACCCCACTTTGGCCTAAACCACTCTGAGTTGGGTTTCTGCCACTTGATTAAAACAGATGGTCTATCAGCCCTTGGAAAGACCATCTGTCTATGAAACAGACATCACTGAGAGCCAGCATAGGTTAACAGAAAAAAGACCAACAGGTCACGCCAGACTATCCTCATTCCCTTAATGAAAGTTGACTACATCAGTAGATCAAAGGAATACCACAGGCTAGTGTAACTGGACTAGGAAGGTACTTCTGGTCTCTCGTGACATCCTTACGAATAAGGAATAAGATGAGGTAATGGAATAAGATGTGGCGATGGGGAAGCAATAGGACAATAATATGGACTAAAAACTGATAAAATACCAAATTCAAAGAGTGTTGGTCAGTGTCAACCTCTGGGATCTGCCCTGTTTCATTAAGGATAGCCATTAGTTCTTTCGGTGCTTCCCATCTCTAAGACCACCTGAGCCTAAACCTCCACCATTTTTCTCCTGAATCAGCACAACAGCCTCCTGACTGGATGCATACACAGCACCAGAGTGGAATGGTCATTCAAAAACATAAAATTGACTGCTTTATTCCTCTGTCGAAACCCAGACAAGTCTTCCCTGAAAGTCATCCCCCTTCCAAAGAACCACTCCTTTCCCCCAATAATTATGTTTCCTATTCAATTTGTTTTACTGGTTCATTCAATACAGCAGAAGCTCCACAAGGGCAAAGACCATGTTTCTTATATTCATCAACGCATCACCTAGTGTCTACTCTAGATCTAGCACATAGTAGGTGCTCAATTAATTGAATGAATGAATGAATGGCACAGATGAACACTGGCAGAATAGTGATCAAATTGCCAATGACACTGTTACAAGTGGAGTTAGACACACAACTCTTGGAAGCCACAACAAAGTTTGAGGTCAGCTAAGAGACAGAAACTCCCCTTGAATTTTATATAACTGTAATTATATAGTATGTACACTTTTTTGTCTGGCTTCTTCCTTTCAACAAAATTATTTTGACATTCATCCATGTTGTAGCATGTATCAATAGTTCATTACTTTTTATTGCTGTGTAGTATTATATTATATAAATATACCACAGTTTATCTATGCACTGGATAAAAAATTGGTTGCTTCCTGTTTCTCAATTACAATAAAGCTGGACCTAGGAATGCAATGCTTATTTTTCACTTTTTTTTTTTAGGAATGCAATGTTTAGATCACAGATAGGTATATACTTTTAAAGGAAAATGTCATACTTTTAAAAAGTGGTTGTACCATTTTACTTTCCCACCAACAGTGTATGAGTTCCGGCAACCTGGTCAACACTTGATGTAGTCAGTCTTTGTATGAAGTTTTATCTGCTTGTGGTTTTAATGTGCATTTCCCCAATGATTAATGATCTTGAACATCTTTTCAAGTGCTTATTTGCCACCAATATATTTTCTTTGGACATCATGGGTTTTTTGTTTGTTTGCTTAAATTACAAAAGAGGACTTCCCTCGCAGTCCAGTGGTTAAGACTCTGCCCTTCCACTGCAAGGGGCGTGGGTTCAATCCCTGGTTGGGGAAATAAGATTCTACGTGTCATGTGGCACAGCCAAAAAAAAAAAATTACAAGAGAGGCTCTCACTTATTACATAACTAGACAAACAATACAGAAATGTATAAATAATTAATAGTCTCCTACCCCCCAACACCAGAGGTGCACAAGAACCACCAGGAGCACTTATTAGGCATGCAAATTCTTGCCCCCACTCTTGGAAGATTCTGATTCAGTAGGTCACAGATGGGGCATTTTGACAAGCCCCTAGGTAATTCTGACACAAGCGATCTGTAGATTTCTTAAGAAAATCTGCTCTTACTATTGTCCTCCTAAGGAATAGTTGAAGGAATGAAGACAGTGAGTCTGGAGAGGCAAACGCACGGAAGGGGTACACGGACTGCCTTCAAATAAGTAAGAGCCTTTGTCTAAGAGAATGACTGTGTGTGCTCTATGTTGTCCCATGGAACACCAAGAGTTTGGAACCTAAAGATCAAATCAAAAAAAACTTTCTGGGCTTCTCTGGTGGCGCAGTGGTTGGGGGTCCACCTGCCGATGCAGGGGACGCGGGTTCGTGCCCCGGTCTGGGAAGATCCCACATGCCGAGGAGCGGCTGAGCCCGTGAGCCATGGCCGCTGAGCCTGCGCGTCCGGAGCCTGTGCTCCGCAAAGGGAGAGGCCACAACGGTGAGAGGCCCGCGTACTGCAAAAAAAAAAAAACTTTCTAAGAGAGCTACTGTGAAACAAATAGGCAACAGAGCCAGCAAGGAAAAGAATGTGCCAAAATCACCAAGCTTGCAGAAAAAGGACTTCTCTGGGTTGAGAAATGACTGTTTGAGGTTGAGAAGACAGAGGGCAAAAGACATTCCAGACATACACATACACATTCTCTCTTTCTTTCTCTCTCTGAGGAAAAACTGCCCCTTATAAATACACAGAGAGGAATGTAACCACCAGACAGGTAGTGTGTGTCTTAACCCAAATTAAATAACGGCTATTTGCCCTAAGCCATATTTCCCTGTCTCTATTGGCAAGGCCTAAAATGGAAGGGAAAGGAGACAATACAGTATTTGGTAAGGGCAGTTCCTTTTATAGATAAGTAGGCCTGCCCAGGCCCTCTCCTCATAATTTTGGATCCATCAATTTTAAAGAGCTTAAGCCTGTCAATAAGCAAGAGGCTTTGGACAATCAAGCTCAACAAATGCCATTTTGCTTCAGTTACAGCACCCAAAACAACCCCCCTCCCCAATCAGTTAAATAAAAAGCCATTTATTTGTTCTAGAACAGAATCAACCAAGGCACTGTTTACCACAGCAAGCTGCTGATCCAAGACGGATATGAGCCAACTGCCAAGTAACTCCTGTACCCTGGCAGAAACTCAGCTGAACCTCCATCTGTGGGCAAGATTAGGGAGGCGCCCAGGTTCCCATGTATGTCCTCCTCTTTTCTCTCATTTACAACTATACAGATGCTGGCTCCATTCAAAAGGGGCATGTGAGGCCCAATAATCTGTCCTTGTTAGAATGTCTGGTAGTTTCTACTTTCAGCATTTGACCTAGGGTCAAATATTGAGTGTTGGGCATTATTCTAAATAGGTGCACTCTTATTTAGGTTACTATCACCAAGGTATGTGCAGCCGCTTATAAGTCATAATAGGGCTGACTTTATATTTGCATGTTTTAAATTTTTTAATTTTTTTTTCTTTTATTTCGGATACAGCCCAACTTCCCACAGGTCATCACTCTTTCTTAACTGGCATGGCTTTGACTCACTGGGTTGTGTGCGCCAGCCCTTTGACTCACTGGGTTGTGAGCACCTACTACGAGCGGGGCACTGGGCTCAACGTTTATCTGTAGTCTGACAACAACATGAAAGACGAAGCAATCTTACCTCAAGTTTACAAAGAAAACTGGGCCTTGGAGAGGTTAACAATGTGTCCAAAATCAGGCAGCTAGGGGCGTTGGAAGCTGTCTGAACTCAGAGCAGGAACTCACTCCTTCACCTGCCTCCCTTTACAGGAGCAAATAAACTGCTCTGAAACAGCGCAGCCTGAGTGCCAGCCTTCAGTCATTCCTTACAG